CCCGGCCCCGCCTCCGCCATCACGGGGTCGGTCAGGGCGGGCTCGGGCGCCTCAGAGCCCGCCCGCGGCACCGCCTGTCCGGTCCCCCCTCGTCGGGGAACGCGGCGGGATGATGGCACGTCGTCGGAGGGAGGTGGTTCTCAGTGCTCCTCTGACGGGTTTTCTCATATAAAAAAGACATTAAGCTGTTGGAGAGCGTCCAAGGAGGCCATGAGGATGGTGAAGAGTCTGGAGGAGGAAGCCTTATGAGGAGCAGCTGAGGTCACTTGGTCTGTTCAGCCTGGAGAAGAGGACGCTGAGGGGAGACCTCGTTGGAGTCTTCAACATCCTCACTAGGGGAAATGGAGCACGAAGCCTGTCTGAGTTCAAGAAGTGTTTGGACAACGCTCTGAGGCACATGGTGTGACTCTTGGGGTGTCCTGTGCAGGGCCAGGACTTGGACTCAATGATCCTAGTGGGTCCCTTCCAACTCTGCGTATTCTGTGATTCCATGATTCTCTGTCATGCAGCACTGCGTGGTCCTGCATATGGACCACTTTGCAGAATAATGAGGGAGCATGGCTAGGCCAGCTTAATTTCTGTATGGAAAAGATGTGATGCAGATTACAGGTTTATAAGTATAATAATAAGCACTGCATCTCTTGTACTGCTACGAAACAATTTCAGTCTCAGAAGAAATTACTTTTTCACAGGTTTTCTGCGGATTGTGTTACAAGCAATATTGTGAATAAGGAGGAGTCCAAGTTGCCGTGAAGTGTATCAAGCTTTAACTAAACAGAACAGGGTTTTCACCAGTCTTGGAAATGTTGCAAATTTTAGAAAGTTGTTGTAAAGTGTTCATAAGGCAAATAAAGCATTTCAAGGCTGGAAGTCACAGTGGGGAGGAATTTGGGCTTCAAGCCACCTTTAATTGAATGGTTAATATGAACACTGAAGTGTCATTGCTGTGGATTCAGCTGATGCACCAGTTAAGCCCACAGCAATGACACCTGCAGAGTAACTGAGGAGTCAGCCATTGTCCTTTGGAGATCCTCCTTGTGTGGAATGTTAGCTCTGTAGTCACATGCTCACAGTAGTGGTGTAGACTCCTGAGTTTTAATAAAGTAAGTTTAAAAAAAAAAGTCTCCATAACGAATGTCTGTT